GACGGAGGGAGGAAGCAGGGGTGACCACTGGTACTTGTGTGCGAACGTCGGCCAGTGGCGTTCCCTGTGTATATCAATGTGTTAATACTGAACTGACTGTGAGGCAGCCAAAGACTGTGGAAAAAAGGGTCAAGGGAGCGATGGGAAGCAAAGTGACAGTTTTGAAGAACAATTGAATAAAGAAATGTGACTGTGGTTCAGAGATAAAATGTGGCTGCATTGCTTTTCTTTCTTTCCTTCTTTTTTGCAACAATGGTGACAGATGTCTGTTAATTTAAAATGAGAAACAAGCAAAACTATATTCAAATGGTTGTTTATTGGTATGTTAGGGGGTCTAACACTTTGCCCTTTAGTCAGTGGTGATAGAAAAAAAGTTTCTTTTTATGTTTTATTTTAATAATTAAATAATACAAAGCATTTTTTAACTATTTCTTTGTGAACGACTGAGAGACCAGCCCAGTATAGTGCATGATTTCTTCCCGAGCAAAGGAAGAGGGCTCCACCACTCTCACTATTTAAAGAGATGATAAAAAAAATATTAAGAAATGATGGGGGGGAGAAAATATGAAAAAAAAGAAGTACTGTAAAATGAAAAGATAACAACAAACAAAAAAACTGTCATTATTTGCTGAGTATGGTAATTTGTCTAAAATGGGAATGGTGTATACAGCAAGGCCTTATGTGATCTGTATCATAGTTAATAAATCAAATCTTGTAAAACTCCTGCTTTTCTCGTCTCATTGATTTACTGCTGACACATGGAGCAGACATGAAATCCTGAGCAAGCTTCTGCAATATAAGTCTCCAGTTAGATGCATTACATTTATTCTGCAGAGGTTTCTCTACTTCTGTGCACAGACGTATCATTCAGACTTTATTGGGTTGTAGGTGTAATATTAAATGGAAATAAATTGGCCTCATCATTCTACACAAACCTGGATTACTGCCAAATGAGCTTCTATAAAGTAATATACTTTAGTAAATGACCTGTGAATTTTTTAATCTGTAAAAATGTGCCTTTACTTTGTCATTATTTGCAGAAATTACAATTGAAATTACAAATTTGTTTTTACTTTACCAAAACTGAAGGGGTCCAAAATCTTTCTACGGCCACTGTACACTGGGAGCTGTTTGGGGTTCAATGCCTTGCAGGAAGAATTTGGGATTTCTTTATACTATATACCCTAGCCAAAAAAGGAATTCAAACCTTCTAGTGCTAACCACTGTCCCACGGTGCCGCCCACAAACCTTGGAGTCAATGGCCAATCTGTTCTTCTGATGAATCCAGAAAAATGTTTGTGTTGTGGAAAAACACACCCACCTTTCACAAGGACAGGCCAACTGACACACACACGCACACTTTACATTTACACATGAATGTTAAATCATTTTGTCCACACGTGATAAACTTTTCGTCACAATGTGTCGTTCTGTTCTCTCGTCACACTTTGAGGGACCGAGGGGAACCGGCCGGGGTCACACTGGCCCTCGGGAACCTCTCGCTTCCTGAGAGACCGGCACACAGAAGGGCTCAGCTCGTGCCATTTCAGGGTGATGTAAGGACTCGGGTCCCTGTGAGGACTACGTGAAGGCCTCGCTGCCATTTCATGGTGCCCTCATCTGACCTTTTCATTGAGTCAAACCAAAGGAAATCTATTTCCATGACCTTTATGGTGCATCTTTCCATTTTGACGCAGGGGGAAAAAAAAAGAGCAGCTGATTGGGAATGAAAAGGGCAGGCCCATGTGTGCACAGGACACACGACCCTTGAACTCTAACCTTTAAGAGGTGTCGTTAGGGAGCGAGGGGTTTATGGTTTGATTGGAAGTCAAGGACGGGGGATGAAACCAATGAGGAATGTCAGGATAAGTCATGAGTGTGAAGTCAATTTGCACAAATTACAAGTTCATGCAACTCCATTCCGACTGATGACCTCGCACCCAGATATCTGTCAGCTGTATTGAACTGGTTCGTGTCCTCTCAACCGCTAAGATCCACGGATGGAGCCATGCTGGTAACGGCAGCTCTCCCCTCGGGTGACTGAACCTTTGCTGTCAGAGCCAACACATTATAGAATTCATCTCTCGTCTTTAACAGACTCATTCTCAAGTCTTCTCAATTTTATTTCGATTTTTATAAAAGCTTTTACATATTATTGACATTGGCTCTTATTTACACTGACTATTGTCAATGGTCTGTCCGTCTGATAGTTTGGAGGATTACACAAAAACCACAGGAGGGTTTATCATGAAACTTAATGGAAGTGGAATGTGGAAGGAACTGAGGTTTCATTAGGAGACTTAGGGTCTTGGCGTGTGCCATTATTTCTCTCTTTTATTTTTGTTTTATTTATTTTTGTGTTATTTTATTTTGTTTTATTTTCATATTTGTTTCATTTCAATTTGTATTCATTACAAGCCATTAAACTGATCACAATTACGCTGACACACTTTCTCTTCCTCAGTAAAATATTTCTCCTCAGGCACTCTTCGCTTCCTCTTTTTCCTTGCGCATTCGCGGCCGCGCCACTGGGAGGCGGTCTTGTCCCACAGTTACCCATCAAGCACCGCACCCCTGCTGTATCCGGGTAAAGAGGAGCGCGCGGAGCCACGTGGGCCTGACAAGCGTGATGAAGACTGTGGATGTCGACAGAGAGAAGAAGGTTTAATCCTGAGGTGAACACATCTCTCATTGATGTCGAGGCTCCAACTTCCTCCTCTCACAGTCTGAGGATGGAGCTGGAAACATGGCTTCAGAGGTGTGTGTGTGTGTGTGTGTGTGTGTGTGTGTGTGTGTGTGTGTGGGTGTGTGTGTGTGGTGGGGGAGAGAGGGTGAGGCAGAGGGTGTGAGCACAAAGTAAGTAAAGACAAACTTAATGTGGAGTCTTTGGTTTTTAACTTTTTAACAACGTCAATACAAAACATGGAGACAAGGTCACCCAAAGTTCATATGGTCCCACAAAAACTTCTTACTGGGAACATTCATTCATTTTTCAATTCTATTTTTGGAGTTTACATTTACTATAACACATAGTTTGGTTTCATTTTCAAAAATAATAATGGACATGTGTCCTAAAAATGTAAATAATGTTAAGTGAATTATATCGTATTGCATCATTGTTTTTGAGTTACAGAAGAACAAATATTTTTAAATAAGACTGGGAAAATTCAATATGTTGGGAAATAATATACCACACATGCAAGACCAAAAGACATATGTTCTGGAGCCAGATGATGGAAAGAGCAGCGCACATCAATGTTGTTTTAGTATCTTTGTAAAAAAAACAACAACTTATTGAGTCACTTCCTTAACCTGATTTAAAACAAGATATTTGTCGTCTTCTTCGTTCAGTTTATTGGCAGGTGGCAACCAATGTCAAGGTGCATTGCCGCCATCTACTGGATTCACTTCTTCTTTTCTCGATCTTCTACTTCTTTCTTCAAACATTTGGAAGGCAGGCTCCTAATTTGAAGTCATTGTTGCTCTGTATTAGAGATGTGAAGTGCTTCCTTTGGTTCAAAGCCATGACCAGAGCAGTTGCACGCCCGCCTGAGAGCAGCACTTAGGGGACGTACTGTATATGTGGAGGAGGGAGGAATGAGAGAAAAAAAAAAGGAAAAGAAAGAGACTGGGTCTGATGATGAGTCGAGGCACGTATCTCCGCTCAACCGTGTCTTTCTTGGGCTGGAGCTCGCAGCTGCGGTGGCGGCTATTGAATTCAGATGCGGGCCTGTCTGTGCGCCGCGGCCGCCGCCACAGGTGGAAACGCTCTTATCAATACGCACTGTCCAAGTGTGACTGCGGCCCGATCCGTCTCATTGATGATTTTTAGGTGCCCCTGCCCTCCCTGTCTTCCCGGTGCTCCCGGAGGGCCCCATTGATTAATGTCTGGGTCACAGTGGTATTTCCATATTGATAACTCGATTGATGACGACGCTCCAGGAACAAGCCTTATTGAGCAGCTGGAGAAATGATAGGTTTTTTACTGTGTTTGGCGGATGTACTCATGCATAATGGCCCTAATGAGGGTTGAAGCACAGGAAACCCAGGTGAAAGATGAAGTGCTGAATTCAAGTGTCACCAAGATTTCGATTTTTATCAATATTATTAGTTCTGCTGCACAGATATTTTCTTATTATAATAGGATGAGACTTCATTGATCACCAGAAGGAAAACTAAGTGTTACAGCAGCACAACAACAGACGGATATAATACAGATAACTGGGAAAAGCACATACAACTAACAAATAATAAATCAAAGTTAGAAAGCTACATATGTGATGTGCATCAATGAGGATATACTGTATGTGAACTACTTCTAAAGGATTAAGTCAATGATATCAGGTTTTCCTCGGGGTGTTAAAAAGTCTAATTCTAGTTCATTTAACTTTACTTCTCTTGACCTTTAAATTGTTTTATGAGAAACGTGAATGAATAGTTTGCAATGTCTCCGTGTGTTGGAGTTCTTTCTCAATGATATTAGTTTATGGTAAAACTACAAATAGGACCACCTTATAGTCTAGAAACACCTTGGTTAGATTTCATCTCAGTTCACTCAGCTTGGCTGTGGGAAAGACCTTAATGTTCTTGTCTGTAGTTTGTTAGATAATGTGTTTTGAGGTTTATTCTGATTCACCTGATCGTCAGTCGTGTGAGAAGTAATTCTGAGACTTTGATATTCCTTTATATCTCTATCAACATAAATCTTACGTTTCATTCATTATATTCTTAACAAGTCTTAAATTGTAAGTGAAACCTACAGAAACCCTGTTAATGCCTCATGTGAAGATTGTTTGTCCTCTAGGGCTCTTGTTTCCACCCAAAAGGACATGAGTTGATAGACAAGGTAAACAAACACACAGCAGAACTCTTATAAAGGCTACTTAAGTTTTCTCAAATCTTTGCTTTTTTGTTAAAATTGTTTCCCAGCTTACAACCAAAAACACCAACATCTTATTGGCTTCATAATTGGCATGTGTTTTGTTAAGGGCTGGAGAAAGTGCAGTGACTAATTTGGTACAATTTGGACACATGATATGTTCAATGCTAATAAACTTTAAATGACCAGACAGACTCATCAACTGTAAGTGATACTGTCAATCCTGGCGACAGCAACAATTACTGTTTCTCCAATTCGGGGTTGTGCGTACTGAGTTGAACTTTACTGAACTTTGAATAAACAAGTGTTGTTGCTGTTTGTGCAGCAGCGGTGGTTCAGCTCCAGAGTTCTGTTGACCAATTCCCATCTTTACTTGCTGGAGCGCAAATTACTGTCGGTCATGTTTACAGTTTCAGAAAGAACACTGCAACTAGCCTCACCACAGAGCAGACATGCACAATTGTTCACTTTTAAAAACCCTGAAAAAACTTCATTCAGTTGTGTGTTGCCAGTTGATGTAATTTAAGTAGCTCTAACAATTTTCTTTTTTCAGTTTACAGCAAATATACCAAATATAATTAAATGGAACCTGTATGAAAACAGAGTGTTTGGCTGAACTGCTCATTTAGTAGTAAGCAGCACAGGGTGCTTCTCCTTTACTAACCTAACGTTTTATAATGACACCTTAAACATCACAGAGTAATTTATAAAAAGGCCACTCATATAGGAAGAAATGCTTTCAAGTAACTAAATCCTCATTAAAAAAATACAAATATCAGGTCCTGTTATGTTGCACGTCAATCAGCAGCTTCAAAACAAGACTGCACAAAGCAGACCTGGCTATCACTGCTCTGGTAAAAGAATTTTCATCATTAGAGAAACTGTATTTTGAGTGGACCAGTCTCAGATGTCATGACAGACATACAGTCATCTACACCGCTTTAGCTAATTGCAATGCAACCTAAGGTGACCCCTGTGGCCCCTGTTTGCAATGGTTAACTTATTACCAAGGTTTTCATGAGGTGTTTATATGCCATCCTTTATCATATATTTCTGCGGTATTATTCTAAAAGTGACTCGATTTTTTCCCTCATTGGGTCAAGTGCACACACTGTGTAATGCAGAACAACTCCGCAGAGAGCCAAGAGTTGTGAACCCAATTTTCAGACACCCTAATTTAAAGGACAGAGAGAACACCACATGATTCTGTGGGACTTGTTCTGCTTGTTGTGGAGATTGCTTTGGAGGCAGAGGGCATTGTGTGGAGATAATAGTCAGCAAGGAGAAAAAATAAAGCTTTGAGCAGAACTGATCCCACTTTACGCTTTTAGGGTCAGTGGTCGAAATGGGTGCTCGGCCTCCAGGTCCCTGCAACACGGATCAGGGGTCCCAACGTATATCTGCTGATTACATCTCCTGAAGTGGAAAAAATGCAAATAATAAATGTATGAGCAACGTGCTTGTTTTTTTGCTTGATTAATTATGCCGTTTAATTCCAGATCCACCATGCCGCTCCACCGTATAATTTCCCAGTGGTCTTGGCTGTTTCTTCTCTCACACGCGCTCTCTCCTTCTTCTTTTTTTTTTTTCTTCTCTCCTCATTGCAAAATGAATCATGGATCCAACCGTCTGTACCCGGGGGAGAGCGGCGAGCTGGCGAATAGGCTGACCAATCATGAGCATCAGAGGCAGACACAGACGGAGTGAGCCTTTTGTTGTGTGCTGCACTCATCAAGTTAGAAGACAACTACCGATTTGGCCCGAAGAAAATTAAAAGACGGAGAGTGTAAGGAGACAAAATAACCAACTTCATCCATGTTTGTAAATCTGTTTCCTCTCTTTCACTTTTTTCATTGAATATCCTTTTCTTTCCCCTGTGCTCAGCAGCTTATCCAATCACACTGGCCACTGTGTGTTTATCTGAGTGGGTGGCAGGATTTCTGTGCCATTCATATTGTCAACTGGGACCCTGGCAGCTCTTCTATTCCCAGCCTGGCCGACCCTCTCTCAGCCTCCTGACAGTTCCAGGTTAGCCCTCACTCCTCTCTCTCCCCCTGGCCCTCCTCTTCTCTCCCCTCCAGCTTTCCTCTCCAACTCTCCCAGGGGCCCCACTGAGAATACTGCTCAGATCCAGGCCTCTGAGCCCCAAAGCCGGCCCTAATCCTCCCCATCGATCGCCCTGAGAATTTCCTCCCCAGCACAGCAGGCCCCGCTCCTCGGCGCTCACGCTCCTGAACCATGAGCATGCAGCTCTTCTCAGTCAGAGGGAAGGCAGAGAAAAAAGGGCCAGGCAGATAACCTGTGCCTTTTCAACAGATGGGCTGTGTCGATGCAATGCGAGTTATTAGGTGGTTATAGCAGGCCGCGTGTTGCAGGTGTTGTCTCTTCAGATTTCAATAGACATGGCTGTCATGATCACAATGATGTTTCAAGCTGTAAAGTCTTTTCTTACTCAGGTTGCAGTCAGAGCTCGTCAAGATCTCTGCAATTTTATTCCTCTTTTCACTGACTTCACTGACTCTACAGCTGTGGTTAAGAGTGTGTGAAAACTATCGTAAGTAGCAAGCAGCAGTGTAAATTATTAGAATAGTCACCAAGTATCTTATTTTAATACTAGGAATCTCGGTCTGGATGTATGGGTTAGGGTCTCAAAGCTTATCTCGAAAATTATTAATCCCATGTACTTTAAACTTCTTTTGTTGAGTTCCAAGTAATGCAGTTTTGACTTTCAATATTAATATATTTTGAATAATATCCAGGTGAATGGTTCTCTGTAGCAGCGGAGACTGGTACTCATCAATGTAAGTGACATCAATCAGGACAATAGCAACTGATTCTCTAGTTTGGGATTCTGAGTTGAGCTTCACTGAACTTTTAATAAAGAGGGGAACAGCTCTTTGCGCAGCAGCCTCTGGACTCTGGTGTCCACCATGTCCTCAACAAGTCCACAGCCGGTCTTTACTTACTGTGGCTGAGTTACTGCAGGTGACTTTCACTGTGCAAGTAAGTTGTAACTATAGCATCACTACAGACAAAGCTAAGGGCTCGTTCATAGACTGTATGAAAGAGGGACGTTATGACAGTGCCCTATAATTGAAGCCAAAGTGTGCTGTACAGTTCATAAATCCCACCTCCATTATAGTGGATGGGATATGGACCAGACTAAAAAAGTACACGTCTATTATATCTTTTATTTTGGTTGGTTGTTATCACACTGATGTAAGTGTTGATCAGTGTTAGGTTTTAATTAGTTATTTGATGTTATAAAAACAGGGTGAAACAAGATTGACAGCTGTCACTGACTCACAATCGGTCAAGTGTGAAGTGGAGACAAGTTGTCCATCTTTAAATGCAGTCTACGTTCCAAACTGGCATGATTAGAATGCACTGTACTTGTAATGGATCAATGGTTGAAACTTTAACCTGGACCAAAGTGGCCTCAACATTTTGTGCCTTTGAGGCATGAAAATTATTCACATTATCCAATTTTATATAATAAAAAAACTATGAATCGATTAAAATCAAAACATGTTGAATAAGACTGGTTGTGCCAATGTGATGGAGTTTGAGCTGATCTGAGAGGTCTGCAGGGACACGTCAGATAAATCTGAATGTTGGGAAACAAGGCTCAACTATGCAGAACACTAGATAAGCACAGATTTCCTGCCACTAGGATTGACCGTATCTCCAGCCATCATGGTGGAGTAATGGAAGGTGGTGTATGCTATACAAATCTGCTGAAAAGATGAGAAAGCATCATTACTCGAGTCCTCCTGGGAAAGCTCCCAACCAACAGTCTATCCTGCGCAACATACTCGTTCATAATTTATTTACGCGACAAGCTTCCCCTGGACTCTGCTGCGCGCATGTTTTTACTGCAAGTGTGGAGGTATTCGAGAGGTATTTTCCTCTGTGGTACCACTGTGGATCCAGTACAATAGTAGATGATTAAACCTCCTACTTTTTTAAAACATTTACTGTGTGGTTGGGATGTTAAATTCAACCCAATCTTGAATGAGACAGAGAGAGAGGGAGGGATCTGGAACGTTTCGCCCAGTTTAGATGTTGGTCTGTGGACCAGTTGGAGCATCTCTGTCTATACTGGCATTAAAGAACCAGTATATCAATACTCTGTTTAAACATGGCTATGAGTCACATTTCCAAATCAGGCCTTGAGATATTTTTGGCCTTATCTGTCTCCTGTATATTTTGGGTACATTTCAGATCAGTTGTGCTTTGGTGCATTTTCACAATATAGATGTTTTCTCTTTAATCGATATTTGGATTTTATTACTAGTGATGCCTAGCTTCTCTTTACAGTGGACAACACACACACACACACACACACACACACACACACACACACACACACACACAGCATGTCCACACTTCCAGCCCTCTATACTTCAGTGTGTCACTCTTTCCTCGCCCTTTCCTTATGCTCCCTTCCCTCCTTCCCTCGCTCGCTCTCTTTCACATTTACCCTTGCTCTCCCTGCTCTCTTCTTGTCCACTGCCTCCCCTCTCTCCTTCCTTCCCCTCCATCTCTCCCCCCCGTCTCCCCTCTCTCCCTCTTTCTCTTTATTAATTTATTGGGTTGTTATTCTCCTTGCCTGGCTGTGCTAATGAAGGCAGGATGCAGATGAGGGCGAAGGTCGTCTCTGTAGCGATCGACCCCGCCGCCCCGCAGCATGGCACTCTGACTGGCACAGGTCAGTGGCAGCTGTCAATCAAAACGCACACGCATGCACATACACACTCACGTGCACGCGTGCAATCACACGTACACCATCACTTAAATCAATTCATACATAAAGATAATGGCTATATTGTCCAACAATTAACAATTTGTAATTAGCTGTACAAATGATTATGCCTGGGAGCAGATCCTCTGATCATTTTTAGATCTTTTTTGTTTTTACATTTTGGAGGATGTTAAACTGTCCACAATTTGACAAGAGAAGCCTAAACAATAGAGAATGAGAAAAACACTTCAGATCAATTTACAATCAAGATGTTTCACCCAATATTTATAGCACTGAATAAGTAATTTAAACTACACGCACCAGAAACATGAACACTTGAACAAACATCATTAGAGCCCTCAAAATAGACTGTTTAGAAAAGTGGATGTAGAAGTTTAATTTCAGTTTATATTAGGGCATGGAAACTGTGTGACTGCTACTGTAGTCCAGTTGGTGCAGGTTGTTGGTGAAGGTGGGCGTGCAGTGATGTTAAACATGGTGCCGGACAAAATGCCAAACTTGAGGCTTCAAAATGGCAGCGCACAAACCAATGGGTTACGTCACTGCTTGTTATTGCCACTTTTCTAATAATTGGTTAGGGAAAGAATTATGTAATGTTGGTCTGTCTGTCAGTCCATATCTTTTATCCAGACTGATATATCTCACCAGCTATTTCATATATTGTTTGGACCATATTGTACAAGTTTTCACAGTGCCCAGAGGATGAACCCCTGGTTTTCCCATCAGCTTTAACTGTCTGTTTGGTTCTAACTGCTCAAGTCATATGTTGAACATATTGAACATCTTACTTTAGTTAGTCAATTGCGAGCAATAGCATTGGTTGTTTCTTTTTGTATCTTGTTAATCATGATGCAGCTTTAAGATGAGACCCACAGAACATCAGATGTGTCTTAAAGGCATCAGCCCAACACATTTACTCACACACAGTTTTTCATTCGACACATTAGCGTTTGTCTGTGCACGGGTGGAAGTGTTATAGCAAAGTGTCTAACCCCCCCCTGCCCTGTCTTTCATTGGCCTCGACATAGTGAAGACCTTTGCGTCCCGTATCTCAACGCTTGTAGCAGTTACAACCCTCTGCTCTTCATCACAGCATGTCAAGAGAGAGAGAGTGTGTGTGCACTCAGATGTCTCGGTGCATGTTGATTTTGCTCATGGTTATTGTTATAGGTTTATTTGTGTGCTCAGCCATGTTCTTCAGTGTGTTCACCTGCATCTGGGCGTCTGTGAATGTGCTTCAGTGCACAACAACCACACACACACATTCACACACCAACACGCATGCACACACATATCTCTATTAGCAGTATAGTAGTGTTAACCGTGTTATGCCTTGCGTGAACCTCCCCACCTTTCCCTCATATCTATGCAAAGCTGGGGTCCTGTCAATCAGTCACCTTGGTGACATGGAGCCCCACCTCCCCAATTAGAGCTGACAGGGCAGGATTAGGAGGGGGGCGGGCCCCCGCCGACCTGCCTACGTGTCAATCACGAGCCGGGCATCCACATGCCTGTTTACTGTCAGATCCCATCTCCGTCTGTCAGACTGCACGGCAACCATCACCCAGGGAGGAGGGGTGGAGGGTGGGGGGGAGGCGGAGAGAGGGGAGGAGGAGATCTGATCGGAATTAACTATGCTTCTCCCCACAGACCGACCGTGCTTTTAATTCATGAAAGGGATGAGAGGAAAGTGGGAAGAGAGAGGGAGTGATAGAGGGAGGAGAGCATTTAAAACCCAGAGCAGGGCCTTCTTTAGAAGTTTTCCAGAGTGATGTTTCTTCTCTCTCTGACAATCACTTTTCTTCTCTCGCTAACTCTCCCTCCTGTCTTTCTTTCTCACTTAGATTTCTTTGCGAAGGTGCGTTTCATGCCGCCTCAGAGCTCCTGCGATTTATCAGCAGTCTTCCCTCCCTCTCTCTCTCTTTCACTCTGAAGTTATTTGACTCAGGTTTTTTAAAGTCGCACAAATATCTATTTGTAGTTTTTGGAGTTCGAGAGTTAAGGTCATTTTATTTAGTTCTGGACATGCTCATGCAAATTTGTCTCTGTTTCAGTTCGTGTCTGGAGATGTGGATCCGGCCTACACACCTACAGTATGTGAATACATAATGCTGCGCTTTTAAAGCAGTGTGATGGGTGCAGAGTTCACACTGTGCTAATGTGTGTGTGTGTGTTTGCCCGTATATTCCTGCTGCCGCCATCCCTGGTGTGTTTGCATTTCCTCTGTTTTAGGGTCTCTGGTGGTGGCTTTACTCTGACCTTT